AGGAATGAGAGAATTACATACTGGAGAGTCTATTCATGGTACTGGGGAAACTAATGTACCATTCTCTATTTAATTTGATTTACAGCACATTAGAAAAGTATGTACTTGGATCAGATCAATTCAGCACAGCTCCTGCAGGAAAAATTGTGCTTCTCTAGCTTGTTATAGATTTGGGTTTCTTTTATTTTAAACTTATGAAATAAGTAAAGGTGACCCAATTTAGTTAAAGCTGCTTTAAAAAACAGTACTGGAAAAAAAATAAAAGCACAGTGTACTCTACTGAAGTGCACAGCCTTGGGGCTAAAAAAAAAGATACAAAAAAAGAAGAAAAAGCTGTGAGCTCCCCTGGACTTTGCACTTATCCAAATGTAAACTAAACCATGCTGAGAGATTACAGAGCACTTTGTGTTGTGATATTAGCAAGCCTCCGGTTAAACTCCCATCATTTTCAAGACTTTTACTAGCAACCCTGAAACTGACTACTAGAAGCATTGACAATGACAGGAGATGATCAGTACATGCACCGCTTTGTACTTAATAAGTACTGTGTATAGAATTAGTTAATTGTGTGATAATAGTGGTGTTAATGGTGTGATAGAAGCAGCCCCAAACCAAATGGCTACTATCATTTTCAAGTCATATGTTGGTTTGGTGCTTACTATTAGAAGGATGCTATTAAAAGCCTTGAAAATAAGGAGACGTAACAGTCTTGAAACAATTAAGTTGCAAAAATCTAGCACTCAGAAGTTGAAAAACACAAGATTTCAGGTTACCGTATTTCAAAGTGTATAGGTCAATACGGTGTATAGGTTGACCCCCAGCTTTCCAATCTGAAAGGTAAGGATTTTCATAGGCACGGTGTATAAGTTGGGGCCGGCAGCACCACTCACAGGAGATGGGACCATGCCAACTGTCCCCTGCGAGCAGTGCCACGCCTGGCACTGCTGGCACAGGACAGGAACAGGGACAGGGACAGGGCTGGACTCGGCTGAGCTCAGTGCTTGGCTGCAGCAGCCCCATCCCGTGTGAGCCACGCTGCCAGTGTCTCTCACAGGGGATGAGGCTGCACCAGCCAAGTGCCAAGCCCAGCTGAGCTCAGCCCCGTCCCCTGTGAGCAGTGCTGGACTCAAAGGGGACGGGGCCACTGCAAGCAGTCCTGACGAATGCTAAGCACAACACACTGTTCACAAATGATGAGACTGCGCCCGTCAGGCACCAAGCCCAGGCCTGTCCCCTGTGAGTAGCACCAGGCTTTGCATTCGGCAGCACCGATCACAGCAGACAGGGCCAGGCTTGGCACTCAGCTGGTGTAGCCCCACACCCTGCAAGTCTGGCACCAGTTGCAGGGGACGGGGACAGGGATGGGCTTGGCACTCGACTGGCACAGCCTCATCCCCTACAAGCAACACTGGCAGCACCAGCTGAGCTCCGAGCCCATCCCTGTCCCTGTCCCCAACCCCATCCCTGTCCCCCGTGAGCAGCGCCGGGCTCAGTTAGGCTCGCAGGGGATGGGGTTGGGGATGGACTTGGTGCTCAGCTGGTGCAGCTCCATCCCCTGCGAGCAGCACTGGAACAATGTACAAGTCAAGTTTGATTTTTAAAACACAAAAATTGGGCTTCAAAACCTGACTTACACATGGTGAAATATGGTACTTATGCCACCTTAATTTACCCCCATCTTGTATATATGAATTATGGCATTCTTTAGGTACTTGAACACTTGAGGTGCTGGCAGACATGAAAAAACCCCCCAAAACAGCACTTTATAGGAAGAGGGGGCATGGCAGTTTGACCCAGCTCCACAGTGTCTGTATAGATTGCACTTCAGTGGAGCTTTTTGGCGCTTTTTATCTAATAGCTGATTGAATCACCTTTAAATAAAGTGCCAAAAAAGACCTGCTGAAGTGCCCAATCTATATAGATGTTGAGGAGCCGGCTCAAACTAAGACAATGCCTCTCCTGAGCAGGAGCTGTGCTTGGTGCAGGGACATGCTGAGCTAAACGCTAAGCACTCTTTTTCATGTCTGTAAGCAGCTATATTGCTTTTCCAGAGGAACCCTCCCTTATTCCCTGTATGGGATGGAAGGTGGAATGAGTCAGGAAGAAAGCAGGTGTCTGCAGGACTACTGCCTCATTTGCTGCAGTAGTTGGAAGATGCATAGCAAATAAGAAAGGGACTCGAGGAAGAGAAAAGAGTGTTTTATGATAAAGGCAGCTCATTAACAAAGAGAACCTTTCCCCTGTGAACATAAGACCTGTCATGCCAAACCCTTTTTGAATCTGGCCAAACTGTCAGTTTCCACAAAATCTTGTAGAAGTAAGTTCCATGCTTTAATAACATACTGTGTGAAAAAAAAAATTCCTTTTGTTAGTTCTACTACCTACTAGTTTCATTCTATGACCCCCAGTTATTGTACTGTGAAAGATGGTCCTGCTTTGAGCAGGGGGTTGGACTAGATGGCCTCCTGAGGTCCCTTCCCTAATTTTCTATGATTCTACAATTTTAAACCCCACCCCCCAATAAATTATAGCTATATATACACATACATATTATATACATAGCTAACAGTTAGAAGATTTTATATAGCTTTGCATGCATTATATACACATGCATACACATACACATATTATATATATAGCTGTGATTTATTGCTGTGTATGCATGTATGTATGTTCAGCTACATACATACATGCATATATGTATATTCATCTATACACACACACACACACACACACTATACACACACATATATATAGATATATAGATAGAGAGAGAGCTGTGACTTATTGCTGTGTATATGTTATGGAAGGGGAGAAAGAAATCTTACCTGTTTTGGCAGTGATAAGTTGTAAAACTAACGGTCTTCTTGTTACAATTCCAGATCCTCGTGGAAGAAAATCCCTAAAATGTATAAATGGTACATGCATGTTATAACACAATTACTAATCACAACTGAGAAAAGTCTGACAGTTATTGAATACATTTCAATCTTAGGGGCACCAGAAGATTTTTAAAGTTCTTTTCAAGAGCAGAAAATAAATGCTTGTCTCTTTCTTTATTGTAATTTAAAATGTTTTTGAACGACTACAAAGAATATGCCAGAGTAAGTAAAGAAAAGGTCAAATTTTCTTCAGGGCAGACACAGGCATCACGTCACTCAAGCTCTAACACCACGACATTGAGTGGACGCGTATGCAAGGGTAACCTTACAAAAGAGAAGGAGAATTAAACTTATTGTTTCTCTGACAATATACCTGTGGAGAATTCACTCCAGCCATTATCTTCATGCCTATCCCAAAACAAAGAACATAATGATGACTATTGCCAAGACTAGCTGAGGGCCAGCATCAAGATGTACCAAGGTATTCATAATTTAGTTTCTTTTAAAGGAAGTAATAACATTAGCTCCCAAATACATGAGGCAACAGGCCAGACAAAAAACAATGCTCAAAATTTTCAGCCAACTCTAACAGAAAATATATTTAAGTAGATGGTTGTAGATGCAGGGGAGCACACATTTTGTTAATTCAAGACAGGTTCTGTAGGACAGTGACCACAATGGATTCTTCATTAGTAATTTAATCGAAGAAAGAAAGTTGTGACAACCTTCAAAGGATATATGGGAGCTATGTATAAGACCCTGCCTAAAACCTCAGAGAGGTAAACTAGTGCAACCTGCCCAGCCTTATACCATGGCATGACTTAACTGTGAGCCAATAAGGCTAAAATACTAACAGACTTAGATAATTACATATTGTTGCACTAGTGACATCAACACCCAGACACTACATGCCAATGAAGCATTTAATAACAAGTGTGCAAGGAGAGAGTCCCCAGGTTAAGCTGGTGAACACTGCTAAAATACAGTACAGTGCAGTAGAAAACTGCATACAGGTAACGCAGGAAATGCCTTAATAACAGGGACACCTCGAAAGGAATCGAACAAAATGTTCCTTTTAGTCAGAAGTGACTCCTCCCAGGAAATGGTATGGCATATGAGAGAACTTGAGTCTGGACGTGCTAATTAGTTGGAAGCATGGTGGATCTAGAATTTTGAAAACAAAGGTGCAGATGGTGAGATGCATCACCACATATAAAACAACATATTTTTCTCCAGTTAAAAATATGCTAGAAGCTCTTATTACTCATATACTGAGGGCCTAAGGGCCATATTATTCAGTTTAAGACTGAAGCAAAAACAAATATAATTTCATTGTAATCAGTTAAAAACAATTTTCAGGGCTGTGAAATAGGAGCTACATTACCAAGGCCAGCTAACAGATAGCAGGACTGCAGAACAAAAGATAGCTTTATTGGTGTAACATTACGACCATTAAAAAGAAGAGAGGGTGGTTAACACTTATGACTGAAGTGTTTAGAAGGAATCAGATTGATTATGGGTGGGCAAAATATGGCCCGCAGGCTGGATTCAGCCCACCAAATGATTCTCTCTGGCCCACTGTTGCTTCTCTGAAGGAGAAGTGTATCCAGCCCACGGCCCCCCTGGCTTTCAACGCCTCTCGCCCTTCTCCCTTTCCTGTGTCGTAGCCAGCTGCAGCAGCTCCAGCGGCCAGGCACCCACTCCCCTCCCCAGCCTTGCCCATCCTGCCTGCCAGCTCCCAGTGTATGCTCCAAGGCAGGGGTACTGAGCTCCTGCCCAGGCTTTTGCCCAGAAAGCTGTCTGTGCGCAGCTCCAACCCTGCAACCATTCGCAAACCAGATAGCTCGGCCCCCCGTGAGAGTTGTAGCTCAGATATGATTCTTCCTATTGGTGGCAGAGGAGGTGCACGGGGAAGAGGGCCAGGACCTGCAGATTATCCAGGCCCTTCCAGACCAACCCAGGACCTGGTAAGAGCATGGGCGCTGCTAACGTGGTGCCGTGCTGTTCTGCGCGCAGCTTTGGGCTGCGCCACATGGATGCAGCTAGAGCAGCTGGCTTGGCTACTGCCCAACTGTGGCACAGCTCCTGTCTAAGCCTGAGTCCCCAACAGGAGGCTGGGTCAACCAGGAGCCATGCCAGATGCACCCGCAGCTCAAAGTGGCATTTGAAAACACAGTGTGGCACCAGCCCAGCCGAGCTGCGTGCCAAAGACTTGGGGTGGGGGAGCAGGTGCAAGGAGAAAGGGGTTGGGCAGCAGGTTATCCAAGCACAACCACACCAGTGCTGTGCTGTTCCCTCCTTCTCAAGTGCCTGGTACACAGTCAGGTCAGTACCACATTATATTCCCGCACACCACTTCAGGCCACATGGGTGCAGCTGGCACAGCTCCTGCCCAACTTGGCCATGTGCTCAAGATTGAAGGTAGGGGAAGAGGTGCTGGGAGAGCTGTGGGGAGCTTGTGTGTGCGTGCATCTGCACACATGTGCATGTGGCCCTCAACAACTCAACCAAACTCATTGTGGCCCTCCAGCACAAATAACTGCCCACCCCTGAGATAGGTTATAATGAGTCATGAAATCAAGCGACTTCCTTAGCATCTCCCAACTGGAAGTGGCAACAGCATTTCTAGGCAGTTTGTTTTAAACTTTGGATGGAACAGGAATCAAAGTGGGATACAAGTGCACCAGTGCACCCACCCTAGATTTGCCCCTAGTTTGACGGGGGCATTCACCGGCTCTATCAAAGGTTATAACAGAATCTGGTCAGGCTTCTCTCAGACACTCCCTCACCGGACTTGTCAGGTAATTCAAATGCTGAATTCCTTCCCCTTCCGTGTGCTTTAACTCTAGGGAGTTTGAACAGAGAATCCAGATGCTCCTGCTGTCTTGAAGCCTGTTGGCACTTTCTCACAGCAAAAATTCACTGTCTGTCACCTGCTCCTGAAAGCTGAGACCCATGGTCCAACTGCCTACCCTGTGGCTCATTAACTTCTCACATTCCCTCTCTCCCTGGCGTTTAAGCACATCCTTCCTCCATATTCTACTAAAATCGTGAACTTCTGCTTTATAGTTTAACTCTTCAAAAGCCATGCGGTAGGTATGAGCAAACCAGTTTACACAGCAACAAATAAGCTATACAGAGTTTCTAAATTAAACATAATTTCTTACTTAAAAAGCAACCACAAGAGAATACAGATCATTAGTTAAACATCTTGAACACCATCCCTTCACTCAAACTCCTTCAGGAGTCCAGTGTTTAGGAAGGCTGCTCTTGGTTTGTCTTGTATGACCTCATAAATCGGGTCTCCCTAAAAAAAAAAAAAAAAAAAAAAATATTGGTCTGCCACTTCCCTTCTGCTTGGTGCTTCCTGTGTAGGGGAGGCATCCTTGTTTAGTCTGTAACCCTTACTTTTAAACCCGTCGTATATCATCTGGGTTTTCTGTTCACCCTTTGGTAACATTCCACTGCTACAAACTCCAATCTCCCTTCACCTCTGCCCCCAGATCAACCAGCCCAAACTAGCTTGCTTCTGCCTCAAGCTATGGCCACTTCAAGAGCTTTAATATTTAATGGCTGGTTATTGATCCTGATCTGAGATATACAAGACTGAGGTCTTGCTCACACAGATAAATACCTACATGAAAATGTGTAGACATGATACAGCAATTTTCATAGTGTAGCAGGCTTACTTTTCAGAGCTTGGGTTAAGTCCCAGGCTTGAGATTCTGCTGTTTTGATTGCTGGAGCGCATCCACCAATCAGGAGGCAGCAAGAGAAGTGAAGTCACACCCCTTTCCTGAGGGGAGGGGGAGAAGAGCTCCCCTGGACCTGATTGAAGACTGCAACATTGTCAAGTCTGGAAGACTTCAGGGGCAGAGCCCTGGAGAGTATAAAAGGAGCTGCATGCCTAGCACGAGGGAGATGCATTGAGGACGGAGAAGAGAGAAGAGCGGGGCTAAAAAGAGCTGAGGAGAGCTGCTCAGTGGGGTGAAGCAGTAGCCCAAAAGAGCCCCTTGAAGACTTCCATCAGCGGGGAGCTGCGGACAGCTCCAGCGGTTAGGCTCTCAGTGCGCAGCACGGCGCACAGCACCCGGACCCTGGGAGCTGTGTGAGGTGGCTTGCATCTGCAACCTTTGGCATGTGGCCAGAGAGACGGTGCACAGGCCAGTGCACAGAGCAGGATCCTTGGAGCCGCTTGGGAAGCTCGGGTCCCCAACCTCCACACGAGGCTAGGAGCTTGGTGCAGGAGGTGCTGCACAGAGGGTGAGAGACCCTGGGAGCCGCTTGAGGTGGCTCGGGTCTACAGCTGCTGTCATGGGGCAGCAGCTCAGTGCAGGCGACGCTGCATAGGGAGTCCAGGAGCAGACCAAGCCCTGGTGCTGCACAAGGCTGCCCAGGCCTCCAACCCCTAGCATAAAGAGAAGCTCCCACTACACACAGCAGTGCACGTGGCCTTAAGCTGGGCCGGCAGCAGCAGTTAAGCAGCAAGAAAGCCCGGCAGGGAACAGAATTCGACCTGGAGAATGGGAGGCAACCCTCCAGGACTGTGGAGAATTAAGTAACCCTGAAGAGAGGGTCCCCACAGGGGAGGGACCCCCAGGGTTGTGAAGGGGCACCACGTGGGCCACTCCTGGGTGATAAGGGGTGCTTAGTAGTCTTTGGGGTCTCCCTCTCCTTTTCTTTCCCCTGACCTCCTTTCCTGTAGTGGTACCTTGGGTGTGGGGCCCCTGCCCTGGAGGGCACCCAGGTAGTCTAAGGATTGCTTGTTATATTTGTAGCCTGTGCCTTATAGTTTATGTGAATAAGCTGAAGTAATAGTTTGTATATTAATAGAGTTATAAGGTTGCATGATCAATATCCTTTGTTCTGGGTTGTTCTATTGTTCATTTGTATTTTTGAATAACCGATAGATAGATAGATAGATAGATAGATAGTGTAGGATTTACTGTTTTGTAAATTTGTACATAGATTATATATATAATCTATGTCCTTACCCTTTAATGGTTTTGTTGTAATAATA